GATCTCAAGCCTCCATACGCCCTCCTTAATGCTCAAAAAGGGTCCCCCACCCTTCTATACATTTCCAACAAGGATATACCACCAGTAACTATAGAAATTTGATAGAAATTGGAGTATTTTCAATCTACAAACACTATACAGACACTCCATCAGCAATATGTTGTAGACATGTTGTAGACATGCATCTATAAGCTCTCATATATTTATCATATATTCATATTTAAATATGTACATGATATGGACGTGGCTGTATTCGTGTTTGCCGTCCTGTCCTGGCCCCACCCCGTCGACACGTCTTTCTTCGAGCTGTGAAATTACACCAAATCTTCGACACGAAGTTGCAGGCATTGCTGCAGTTCATCGCTGAGGTCATCACTTCTTCGGGCTTCTGATTTGGAAAATGAAACCAAAATCAAAGATATCAAAACCAATCAGTCACACAAGGATCAATGAAGAATGAATGAATTTCGAATGGTCGCCCAAAAAACCCGAAGGCCTAGGCAATTCACTCCGGGCAAACCTCGACATTTGCTCGTCCTGTCACCTTGGATGTGACACCCTGGGTTCATTTCAGCTTGATGTAATTTCTATGTAATTTTTGGAAGAAGTCACTTTAGACCACTTTAGAACAATAAAGGCTCAGGATTTATCATGTTCCCCACATAGCTTGGATAGAAACTGGGCAATGATGGCTCTTTCTGGCAATGCCTTTAACACACATGCGCATGTGGTTGTGTGTGCTGTGCCCGCAAGTGTGCCTTAGTCAACATGTGTGTGGTTGTACGCGCCTTTCACCATTGCGGCAAAACAAGGATACAGATTTACACAGTCTTTACATTAGGTTTTCAACGAGTTATCGAAGGAAGTTTAGAAGTCAAACTTCCGACCATATGGACAGATGAAAAGCAGAGCAGGGAAGAGGCAGAGAGAAGAGAAAGATTAGAAGAAAGAAGAGTAGAAGAGAAAGAGTAAGAAGAAAGAAGATGCAGATGCGAGAAAAGGTAGGAAAGTCGCGAAACACTGTGTTTTTCCAATGAATTGTGGCTCCGGAGGGTCGAAAAGTAGGCTCGCTAAAGCGGCAGGTGCGGAGACATCTAAAGGATGATAGGAGTGCTGTTCATCTGGGTCGATGCTCAAATCATCATGTCCTGTTGCGATCTCAACATAGATGTCAGGTCTGACACGGCCCCCCATCGCAATGCCTGCCGGGACGGTGGAACCACGTCGAACTCCACACAGTGACAAACAAATCTTGGAAACGTGAAGAAGAAGTATGAAATGCAGAAATTGTATTGTAACGGTTGCAAACAAGTCCATCCTAAGGTCCTCGCTGTGCAAATGCTTTGCATGCGGATGCCACACTGACATCCGCCAAAAGAAATGTTCAAACCACTGATCTTGAGCGCAAGATTAAGCTAAAATCCTAGCGACAACCATGCTACAACCATGTAAGTGCAAAACACTGGCTAGTATCCCAAAAAGTTCTGGCATAGTTCGGGCATCAGGTTGCTGTCCGCCTCGAGATTCGTGGAGTTTCCTTTGTTTCCGCGTCCACGAAAGCGTCCAAGGCCAGGTCTCAGTTGTCTTGTCGCGACGGGCTCACAAAGGATCTACACAGCAAATTCTCAGCGACTGAACTTCACAAATTTCCAAACCAGCCTGAATCCAGTTTGATATCATTGCGATATCACGCTGAAATCATTCTGATGAGGTCTTCAAATACTTCCCTACAATGTACCTGCAATGTATCTATACTATACCTACCAGTAGTACCGCACAAGGCGGTGGCGGAAGTTTCAAAAATAAGAAACCTATAGGAGAGGTTGGTTGTTGTGAATCAGGGATGGCAGAGCGAAGCCACTGCTGGATTGAAAGGTGCTTGATCTCTCTCAGTCTTTCCCTCTCTTTCTCTGACTATCTACCTACCTACCTATCTATTTTCTATGCATCTATCTATCTCTCTATCTAGCTATCTATCTCTCCCTCTCTCTCTCTTTCATTTGATGACCCTATCTATCTATCTATCTATCGACCTATCTATCTATCGACCTATCTATCTATCTATCTATCTCTCTCTCTATCTATCTCTCCGTCTATCTATCTATCTCTCTATGTATCTATCTAGCTCTCCATGTATCGATCTATGCATCTATCGATGTATCTATCTATCTATCTATCTATCTATCGATCGATCTATCTATCTATCTATCCATCCATCTATCTATCTATCTATCTCTCCATCTATCGATCTATTGTTGTTGTTGTTGTAGTAGTAGTTGTTGTTGTTGTTGCTGTTGCTGTTGCTGTTGTCGTCGAAGTTAGGGTAGTTGTGTTAGTGAAGGTACTTAAGTTAGTCAAGTTAGTTAAGTTAATCAGTGTCTACTTTTTCGACATCAGCACGTCAAAAAAGGCTCAAAACCCTCAGTTTTTTTACACTTTTGACTTCGAAATGTGCTTCGCGCCACAACGGCGTGCACTTTTTCGACACTTTTTCGACATCTGAACCTCCAAAAGTGGTCCGAGACCGCCAGTTTTTAACACTTTTGACTTGGAAATGTGCTTCGCGCCACAACGGCGTGCACTTTTTGACATCGCAACTTCCAAAAGTGGTCCGAACCCCTGTGTTTTTACATTTTGACTTGGAAATGTGCTTCGCGCCACAACGGCGTGCACTTTTTCGACATCTCAACTTCCAAAAGTGGTCCGACCATGGTGTGTTTTGTACATTTTGACTTCCAAATGTGCTTCGCGCCACAACGGCGTGCACTTTTTCGACATCGCAACTTCCAAAAGTGGTCCGACCTGGTGTGTTTTGTCCATTTTGACTTGGAAATGTGCTTCGCGCCACAACGGCGTGCACTTTTTCATGTCTCATCTGGCCAGCTGGCTCCGCACCCGCCGCTTTAGCGAGCCTACTTTTCGACCCTCCGGAGCCACAGATCATTGGAAAAACACAGTGTTTCGCGACTTTCCTACCTTTTCGCGCATCTGTGTCTTCTGTCCTCTTACTCTTTCTCTTCTGATCTTCTCTCTTCTAATCTTCCTCTTCTCTCTGCCTCTGCCCTGCTCTGCTTTTCATCTGTCCATATTGTCGGAAGTTTGACTTCTAAACTTCCTTCGATAATGTACCCATATTTCCCTATACTTGACTTATGTAGGGAGTATAGAAGGCAGCCATGACAAAATCATAAAACGCGCGCAGCGCGCAGGCAAACCATGGAAAGCACTCCATGGAAGAAACGATGGTAGAGCCATAGATGGAACAAAGCAAGGGTGTGGAAAGATTTGCAAACAATGAATGACCAAAGAATTCGTTTGCACTGCGCTGAAGCTCTGAAGACATTCATGCAGCAATGCAGCTCGAACGGCAGTATCTGACAGCCGCAAAACTTGCAACTATCCTGGGTGGGGTCAGAACAACTGCACGCTGAGTGTTACACTGGAAGCGTTCCCATTGACTGCGATGTCCACGCCTGCCGCGGTCACAAAAGTGCGGGCAGCAAACCAACCACAGGCGCATGCAGCAAGGATAGAATAGCTCTTCAAAATCCCTGTGGCCGAGCAAATTGCCCTAGCTACGGCCTCCTAAGCCGACATGGTCACATGAAGAGCTATGCAAAGGACGAACGAGAACACTCTACCACTGTGAAAACATGAGAGCATATGAGAAGCTCATGCGAAAGCAACATACTGGTTTGAATCCAAATCCTAGGCAGGAAGAGAGATGTACAGAATGTATGTAAGCGAATGAGCGCACAAATAACGCACAAGTACAGGGCCCCTTACAGGCATCGCGCGCGCAAGTAGATGATAAGTCAAACACCCCTCATTGATCAACGTGTTATCCACATGCTCCCAAAATACTGCGGCTGATTAGGAAGAACAGAATAAGCACAACAAAGGGCTGAAACTCGTAAGAGTCAAATTCTGCACCTGGGGTCTGGCTTTCAAGTGGATAAACTTCACAAATTTGTCGCCTCGGGCCAGTGCAAATATAAGCAGCACATAAGAAGCATATATTTAGCATATATTTTGCATTAGTCCGATCATTCGGAAAGATCAAAACTCAATCAAAACTCATCCAGCCACAGTCGTTTTTGCATACGCTTTGCGCACTTTGTGAGCCGCTGGCAGAAAGGAAGAAGCTTCATGATCACTGCGGGCACCGGTGACTTTGCATGATGTTGGCGGTGTCAGCTGGACGTGACAAGTGAAGGCACTTGAGCATGTGCCACGGGCGCGGGCCAAAGTGCAAAGTTTGCCAAGACAACACCAAAGCACAATCATGCCAGAACCAACTCACAGCCATGACTCCCTATTGCCCACATTTGAATAGTTTGGGACTTTGGATCATTGTGTTCCCAAGGACATCACATCGCATGAAGAAGACTGAGGAAGTGGCATGCAGGTGCGTGGAACGCGGCGAGCGAGAATCCTCCCCATCGGCGAAAGATGACGAAACGAACGAAAACAATCCACGACCAAGTTCAACAGCCACTCCATGATCAATCCGTCGTCATTCACGTCATTGACGTGGCACCGGCTGCACAAGAAAGGAAAGAAATCATGATACCTACAATTCGACCTGAAACGTTCATCTGAGGATTTGGCTGATGGGACTTCGACAGGGGCTGGGAGTGGAGTGCAAATCCCTTGCTTCTTTTGACCCGCGACGGCCGGGCGAGAATAAACTTGCCTAGTATAATGCATGTACATTGTATGTACATTGTTTTGAGTGTATAATGCATGAAGATTACCCAAACTGTCTGCACAGCACGGTAGCCCGTGGCCAACACAATCGGAAGGACGATGAAAGGCCACATTATTCCAACATTTCAACCATGAAATGTATATTTGGAGCAGGGGGTACACCCCTCCCCTTTATACATTATTTAGGAGCTGGTATCAAGCCTCCGCTGCCGACGGAGAAGACGGGGCAGCAGGGGAAGCAGAAGCATCCGCCTTACAGAAACATGTAACATGTGCGTTGAAACTTGGTTTTACATCGCGCACAAAGAACAGAATGCATGAGGCGACCAAAAAAAACGAAAGAAAAAGCAAGCCAGATTGTGAAGATATCTGAGGTCCCGACGTTGGCCAGAAGCGTCATGATGTTGTGGGCAGCACCGACATTGCACCCAAAAATCGCCACAAAATCTGACATAGTACAGGTGCGAAGGGCTGCAATTGTTGCTTGTTGGGCAAGCATCGCAGGAAACAAGTGCCCGCAACCGGCTTTGCGAATTTGGTCGGAAGACAAAGTGGCCATTGGCTGTGTGGATTTGGGCAAGGACGACGCTGACGAAGAAGCAGGGCGCTCCAAGCCGGGACCAGGAGTGAGCTGGAAGAAATTGGGGGGGGAGCTGATCGAGCCTTTTTGGCTGGTCTACCTTTGGCCTTGGGACGTGGCAGGCTGCACTGGTTGATGAGGTTGTGATGGAGCATCGATGCATACATATGCTCACAAGGGCCCCACTTCGCAGCAATTGCGCAATTGAAGCAGAGGTGAAGGGCATGGAGGTTGCTATCCGAAAAGTTTGCCTGGAGAGGAGAATGTGGTGGAGCTGCCAGAACTGCCGAGCCAAAGGTCCTGATAGAACGACATTCCAATCATCAAACATTTTTGCCGCGCCCTTCCAGTTAATTCGGCCATCGGCTGAATAGAAGCCGAGGTTTTGCCATGCTTCTTTGATCTGGAGGTTTGAAGTGGCTCTGACCATGTCAGCAAACTTCTCGACAGCATTTGGCGGCAATCGGTCAAGAGCGCGGTGCTTGTAAGCTTTCTTTCGCCCTGACTTGGCCCAATCAACTTTCAGCGTGGATTTGGGCAACAACATCCAAGTGTTTCCCGCTGCGTCTTGGAACGACTGATGCAAGTTCAACCCCAGCAAAGCTTGCGGCGGCACTCGGCCCTCTTTTGCTAGGGCGCAAGAATTGTGAAGGATGTGTTGGTCAAAGTACTTTCCGACGGCTGGCCAGTCCTCGAAGCTGGCGTCATCTTTCATTCTGCCCTGCAGGTCTTGCAGCTGCGGATCCACAATCGTAGCTTGAAGGTGGGTGGCAAGCTCAAACGGGTCATACTTACGAACAGCAAAAGCCGGCTTCAACGAGTTCCCATGCCAGCTTTCCTGGGGGGCAGACCCAGCATCTGTGCCTGGCATGATGCGATCAGGCCCCGACCGCCAAGGGGCAGACCACAGACTGACATCACCTGGCCCAGCCACGCACTGGAAGTATTGCCGCTGTATGTTTCTGGCGACCTGAGCGTAATCTAGCTCCTCCAACATGGCGAAGATGTGAGACCAAACCTCATGAAACAAAAGCAATGTCATGGTTCTGGAGATTCGGCACCATTGCAGGAGGAAACAAGTAAGCTGCGAATCGCCAAAGACTTGGTGGAAATAGCCATGAAGGCCACTCGGTCCTTGTGACGTTGCCCCCGTGGCATGCGCCCAGTCAGACAACCGCTGGCTGTGCGGGAACACAGCTGACCGCGATTCAACGCCTTTGTGAAGGTCGCCGTGGAACTGCAAGACATGGCTTGCGTTTAAAGGATGGCCTATTGCTTGGGCAACCTCCATGACTGTCTGCGCAAAAGGCCCGTAAGCACCGCCGTCTTCAACATGGGCAAAGCAAAAGGCCAAAGGTACGAAGGAAGATCGGAAAGCATAAGAGGCACCCTCCTGCCTTTTCTTGACATTGACGCCAAGCGTCAGCAATGTGTACTGTTCGAACAAAAGCCTGTAGGTGCCATCCGTTGAGACTTTCAGACACCATGGCTGCGGCAGGAGAGACAAAGTCAAGTGCAACATCAAAGGGCAAATGAGCGGGGTGCAAACAGCTTCTGGAGACATGCGAAGGTTGACGCATCGCAAGAATTTGTCGCCACTGAGCAGCCGCGGATCAGAGCTAGAGACTGAAGTGCTGCCACCGAGGCCAGCATTGAGCTTGTCACATAAGAACTCAAAATCGCTTGCCTGGAAAGCCTTTTTGTTTGTGTGGGGCACGGCGTCCGTGTCTGCTGCGGCTTTCTTTCTTTGGGCCCGCAGCCGTGCAGCAAAGCCTGTCAACTGTTTAGCAGGTTTCTTGCTAGGATTGATTCTCCCGACGAGCCGGTGAATGACTTTGTTTGTGGCTCTCTGCGACCATGCGTTCCACGTGCGTCAGTGTGCCAATTTTTTTTTTCAGATCTGGCGCGTGGACACTGGGCGGTGAGCAACGTAGCCGAAGTTGCGGCCCAGCAGAGCTTGTGGCAGTAAGCAACGTTGCCATCCAAGTCCATGGGCAAAGTGGCTTGTTCTCTGCATTGTTGCAATGCGTGCTACAAGAAATGCTGCAAACTAAGCCTTTCTTGGTTGCTTTGCGGGACCTGCACAGCACTTTGAAAGAAGCTGGCCCAGGTTTATTTTTGAAATGTTTGACCACGGCCTGGATGAATGCTTTGGGCGTAATGCCACCATGGTATTCTATGGTTTCTGTCAACTGCAAAGGTGGTCGGGAGCCGCGAGACTTTCGGCCAGCTTTTGCTTTTGGCCTCGGCTGTCCATGGTCCTTGTCAATGAGCTCATATGACGACAACGTTTCACATGATGTGGGCGCAAGAGCAAAGCCCTTCCAGGCGCAGGTCTTGTAGTGGCAGGATGCGCACTTCAATTCAACACTCTTTCGTTTTTGCGCATACGCCTTGACTTGGAAAGTCTTGCCTTGCTCAGATAACGATTTGTTGATGATGTCTTGCACCGTTGTGGCCAACAAGGGCAGGCCTGGCAATTCAAAATCTGGGCAAAGGTCGCGGAGTTTGGCCAAAAACACAGAAGAAAAAAATCAAAAAAAAACTCCTAAAACTATTAACCTTATGAGAAATTCAGAGCCACAGACTGGTGATGTCAAAATAGCTTTATTATCATTTTTTTATCATTTTTTTTTCATTATGGAATTTCCCCCATTATCATTTATTTATCGATTTTTTATCATTTGTGGATTGACTCTTCAAACGTGGTCGTTCTGTTGATTTTGCCTTTTGCCTTTGTACAATTGTAGATGAGTATACATGGAGAGAGAGAAAGATCGATATAAATTATGATTTTTGTTTCTATTACTCATCGTTGATCCAACGGTGCTCACTCTTTTACATTATTTTGGATTATGTTATATATATATGTTCAACTTGTGATAAAACCAAATACATTTTCATAAGGATATGTGAAACATGTAGTACCATGTTTCACATATCTTTATGAAAATGCATTTTTGGTTTATCAGTTGTCAGTTTATCATATTAGTACAAACCTGGCAGACCTCCCCTGCCAGCCTCCCTAGCTTGCCCTGGCAGACCTCCCCTGGCAGACCTCCCATACCTCCTCACACATCTCCCCTGGCACAGACTTCCCCTAACACTCCCCTGGCAGACCTCCCCTGCAGACCTCCCCTGGCACAGACCTCCCCTAACACTCCCCTGGCAGACCTCCCCTGGCAGACCCCTGCCTGGCAGACCTCCCCTCAGCCTCACACACCTCCCTGGCTGGGCTCGAAAAAACAAAAAATGATGAGTGTCTCGAGTTTTTTTCATTTTTTTATCAATTTTTTATCATTTTTCATCATTTTTTGATAGTTTTTATTCATTTTCCTCTGTTTCCTTGGAAAATGATAAAAAATTGATAAACAATTGATAAAAAAAAGGATAAATTCTGGGCTGCTTCGGAAACAATCAAAAATGGTGAATATCTCGAGTTTTTTTCATTTGTCTTATCAATTTTATATAATTTTTCATCATTTTTTGATAGTTTTTATTCATTTTCCTCTGTTTCCTTGGAAAATGATTAAAAAAATGATAAAAAATCGATAAAAAACTGATAAAAAATTGACAAAACTCGAGACATTCACCATTTTTGATTTTTTCCGAAGAGGCCAGAATTTATCAATGTTTTATCAATTTTTTTTATCATTTTTTTATCATTTTTTCATTTTCCAAGGAAACAAAGGAAAATGAATAAAAACTATCAACAAATGATGAAAAATGATTAAAAAAATGATAAAAAAATGATAAAAAATTGAAAAAAACTCGAGACATTCACCATTTTTGATTTTTTCCGAAGAGGCCAGAATTTATCATTTTTTTATCAATTTTTTATCGATTTTCATCATTTTCCAAGGAAACAGAGGAAAATGAATAAAAACAATCAAAAAATGATGAAAAATGATAAAAAATTGAAAAACATGAAAAAACTCGAGACATTCACCTATTTTGATTGTTTCCGAAGCAGCCCAGAATTTATATTTTTTTTCTCAATGTTTTATCGATTTTTTATCATTTTTTTTATCATTTTCCAAGGAAACAGAGGAAAATGAATAAAAACTATCAAAAAATGATGAAAAATGATAAAAAATTGATAAAAACATGAAAAAAAACTCGAGACATTCACCATTTTTGATTGTTTCCGAAGCAGCCCAGAATTTATCATGTTTTTATCGTTTTTTTATCGTTTTTTTTTTCAGCAACATTTTTGTGTATCATTTTTTTATCATTTTTTTCCAGCAGCATTTTTGTGTATCATTTTTTTTAATCATTTTTTTTCCAGCAGCACTTTTGTGTATCATTTTTTCATTTTTTCCAGCAGCATTTTTGGGTATCATTTTTTCATTTTTTATTTTTTCATTTTTTTTTACAGCAGCATTTTCTGGTATCATTTTTTCATCATTTGTTCGAGCAACCTTTGCTGAAATCATGTTCTTACCATTTTGTGGATCAGTGAACGTATCACTTTATGTATGTATGTATGCATGCATGCATGCATGCATGCATGTATGTATGTAGGTATGTATGTAATGTAGTGTAAATGTACATGTACATGCAATGTAATGTGATGTAATGCAATGTATAATTGGTACATTCACATATGTAATAATACATGTCATATGTATGATGATGTTCCGACAAACAGTAACAACAGGTTTGATTTACTCACACCTCTGTGCATGTAATCATATATACTATTCAAATATACATACTCACACAGAGACCTAGACTGAGCATGCAGAAGCATAAAACAATGAAAGGCATGCATCAAACACAACAAACAATGATTCCCCCAAAAGCAATCAATAAATAAATGATAAATAAATGATAAATAAATGACAAATAAATGATAAATAAATGATAAATAAATGATACTTGGGTAAATCCCAGAGTGATAAAGAAATGATAAAAAAGTGATTTTTTTTAAAAAAAAACCTTTAACTGGATATACAATCCCTGGCTCCCAAAAAATCTCATAATATTAACCAAATACTGTATTTCTAAGCACAAAATGGGGATACTGGTTCAAAATGATTGACACTTGATGGGTGTTGCCCCAGTTGGAATCGCTACGTTGGTTGAACCATTTCTGGTGGTTATATCATATATCGAACTAGTCAATGGGGGTTATAAGCCAACAAACATGACTGGGGTATACCACCATGTAGATTTCATACCGGTTCGATCCCAGTGCTTCGGCAAGATCCTCACTATTTTTGTTGTGACCTTTGTCAGTGATCATAAAACGAAAAAAAACAACTGCTTGCTAAGTCTGGCATCAGTCCCCATTTCCTAGGGTATCCTTTATAAATATAAACATGGAACATAGATATATGGATATAAACTATGATAATTCATCACCCTGCAACTGGAAAAGCCATTTTGATTCCATGGTTCCCTGCCATCACTCATAAATAAAGCGTGGCCGTGTCAGGTGGTTTTTGTTGGTTAAGTCACCAGCTTTCTTGGTGAAATCCCCAGATTTGCTAGGATAAAAACAACGTGTTTTTCGATCGAAAATTATTGTGGTTACATGGGGTGAAATCTCCATAGTTTGCATAGTAAATTGCTTCGCAACAAATTTCAGGATCATGTCATATCCCCTTCAGTCAGTATTTTATCTTGAGTACCATCTCCCTGTGTGTGTTTTAATATGTGATTTGAACATAAAACGTATGGTCCAATGTGCGTTGTTGTAATTCATTGAATCACGTTCTATAACATGTGTCTAACATATGTTTGTTCCTCAAATAAATTTGATATTATCACGACAATATACTGTATACATGTCATAAATCACATAAGCTTATTACGATATGAATTAAAAATGATCATCACACATATTGTTGATATAATATAACAAAACATGTGCTCCAATAATTAGATGGCTGATACCATATAAAGAACACGTGTTATCACTATCATTGATCATCACTACTATTACCATGATCAACAAAAATATGGTGATTGCTGTTTTCCATTTATAGCAACAGAAAATGCCAGTCCAAAAAACAACAAAAAAGATCAAAAAAGGATTCATGTATGGATTAAACTACCCAAGGTTGGAAATGGTTATTGTAACACACCTGATCTTTTAGTTTATCTATTGCTCTTAAAAATGTAAGGGATATATGATTAATTTATAACACACCTGATGTTTTAAGCCGCTCGCCCCTGGGCAACCTGAGCTGCTCTTCTTCACCTGCACGAAGAAGTAAGGCCTGCCAGGTGGGTCCCAAACGGAAAAGTCGCTTGGCCAAAAAGGCGAGCGGCCAACTAAAGCAGTTTAGGATAGTGATTCATATAATCAACTATAGTAACTATATAGTAAATAACTATATGCTTAGGATAGTTTTATCATGACTATAATATATATATATACATATAAATATATATAGTCATAACTTATCACTATATATTATGTTTAGTTTCACGGGACCAAGCACATCCAAACATGATGGATAAAGTGTCGTTCTCTGGCGTATGCAACACATATTAATTCACCAGCTCTAAAGTGCAGCAATTTTGAGATTGCTGAAAAAAATCAGAAGGTAAATCCCCAAAATAATAGGGTGATGGAAGGTTTATGTTCTGGGCTTATCAAATTTATCAACCACCAACAATCACAGTTGTAAGCTCTAAGTTATATTAGGATGAATCTTAATCACCGATTTTACATATCTTAGCGGGGTTGTTGGATTATGTTGAATCTTGAAAAGAATCACCATTCACCCGTCGCAGACCTCGGATCGCTCCACTTTTGACCCTCGCGGCAAATCAACGCGGCACCGATAGTCCAGCTGTGCTATGTTCTTTTCAAAGGTTTCAGATTATGCAACAGTAGCAGCTCCAAGACAGTCGTCGCTATCGCTACCGTGCGACACGGTCCATGGGGGTTTCATTGGAAGAAAAAAACTTGCTGAAACGGACAGATATGAGAACTTCGCCAGCAAAAATTAGGGTATCTCTAGGATATAGCCTCTTGCTGAGCAGTGTTCAAAGCCCAATAAATAGGATTTCCCATGGATCATGATAATCCATGATAATCCCCACTATATTGGGTAGCATAATTCTCTACAAATCATCAACCAACAGGGCTTCCATTCGTGACGGAACTGCCACGGATGCATTGAAAAGTCCGGCGGCCCTTCGGCCGATCTGTTGATCAAACTGGGCATGGTCGGGAATCCCTTGAAAAATCGCTCATCAATGGGAGATGACCAGAGGGTTCAATGGGAAAATCATCAATTTTGTGGGCAGTTTGGTATCTAAGTTTTCATGACCAGGGACTTTCAGGATCAAGAATACACGTTCTTTGCCACTTGGGTTTGAAAATTGGGTACCCCAAAATCCCATCGGATTTGAAAAAATCATGTGTTCTCGAAACATTTGCCACATAAGGATACATATTCCTGATATTTCATGGATGTATTGATGTATTCTTCATTTTTCCGCCAAACCAACTGGGAACCACTTCAGCCCAAGGCCCAGGGAAAAAGGCCCGCTCAACGATTAGGCTCAACGATTCCTCCGTAGCTGTGGGTCATGGCACCGATTGGTTTGTATGTACATACATAGTTCAAACGTGGTATAAGTAGGTATAAGTTGTCCTTCAAGTCGGGGAATGGGATATAACATGAAAACAATATGAAAACTAGTTCTGCGATGTTCTGTGATGGAACAGGATTAGAATAATTGCACCAGAAGTGAGGCTCGCGAGCATGTTTCACCAAGTTAAATCAGAACAAAAGTTTACCATCTGGTAATGAAACATGGCAATGAACAATCCCCCATTTATCCATGACCTTCCCTATTCAAACATCTATTTACTATATTTATTATGTGATTTCCCAGCTAGCAATGTTTGATTACCCAAGCGTCAAATGAACCAACAATATACTCAATCATCTACCAGTCGATTGAGCTAGAGCCACAGTTAAGCCCATGGAACTGCTCGAGCGACGCCGTTTCGATACCAAGTAAACATGTGGAGTTTTTAATGGAACAAACGGAAAAAACGACTATGAAACATATCAATATACATATCAACTAACTATAGACTTTCATTGCTTTTGAAGTGGCGAAACGACTGCGAAACTCACCGAGCTTTCGGTCATGTTCTCCCCATCAACGAAAGCCACCGGCCGTCCTGGTTTCCTCTTCTTCGATCTTCTCAGGATCGACGCTCTCGGTGGTGAAATCAAAACCTCTCAGCGCAGCGGCATCAAGAAATGGGGGGGTTGCCCTCTGGTAAACCTACAAAAAGCTGTGGAAAATCACCATGTGAATAGCAATTTATCAACGAACTAAATGGGCGATTTTCAATAGCAAACTGTTAGTCATTACCAGAGGCTCAACCAGCCTGAAATAGGGATGATCCCACCGCAATTCTTCAATGGGGCTCCAATGGTTTTAATGTCTCGCTGTGATTGGATCGACAAGTGTGTACACTACGGTACCATTTTCAGACACAATTACAGTAGTGTATACAATTGGGTATCATATACATATCATTTTCATAGAATGAGTGCATTTACATATTTACATATCATTTTCTTTATACAATTACAGTATATCAGTATATCCTATGAATACCCCCATAGAATGTCCAATGAAATTAATACCCAGATTATACCCTTAAGTATTAGTCACAATCTAAGACTATTTATTGCTTAAATTGATTCAAAATAGTATCACCTGTATATCCATTACACAGACCAATATCTTACACCGCGTGTTATGTAACTTTAAGGCTTCGTTGGTCATCACAAAGAGCTAAGAGCTAAAGAAATGATGCCAACCTTTGGCTACGGGAAGCTATCTATTTATAGTACATAATACATAATAATAAGAATAATCACAATATAATAACAATAGTCAATAATAATATATACATACATACATACATACATACATACATACATACATACATACATGTGTATATATATATATACATATCAAGATTCAAGCATGGTTAGCAATTCCATTGTGGTTAGCCTTTGGTAATCAAACATGGCTATAGCCGCGGCTATAACTGGGAAATCCCTGTCACAAGCGGAAATTCACCGTGTCACCGATCCAATGCTGGGTGAGCTGAGGGGGAACATCCGAGCATCAAATGTGTTGAAAAATTGACATTAAATTCACCCAACAAAAACGGCTAGTAACATCAATTGCCATCGAAGATTGACCGAAGGTTCATCCACAGCATTCTACGCAATCTACGGTGGAGATGCTCGTTCATGGAGATTTATCGAAGGAAGTTTAGAAGTCAAACTTCCGACAATATGGAGAGATGAAAAAGCAGTCAGCAGGGAGAAGAGTCAGAGGAGAAAAGATCAGAAGAAAGAAGATGCAGGTGCGCGAAAAGGTAGGAAAGTCGCGAAACACTGTGTTTTTTCGTGGTTTTGTGGCTCCGGAGGGTTGAAAAGTAGGCTCGCTAAAGCGGCGGGTGCGGAGACATCTGGGGAGATGAGAAATCAAAAGTTGCACGCCGTTGTGGCGCGAAGCCGATTTCGAAGTGAAAAGGTACAAAGCACCTCAGTGTCGGACCACTTTTGGAAGTTGAGATGTTGAAAAAGTGCACGCCGTTGTGGCGCGAAGCACTTTTCGAAGTCAAAATGTTAAAAACACCAGGGGTTCGGACCACTCTTGGAGGTTCAGATGTCGCTTCGCTTCACTACACTACACTACAGGACATTACA